CGTGATGGGAGTGTGAGGGCTTGAGGGAGAGGAGCCTAAAAGGCCCTGGGGCCTAGGGCTGAAGCTCAGTCCCTGGCGGTCATGTGACATCTGCCTGGGGATCCGCTGGTCAATCTACAAATGTCAGCCTTTGACCCTGAACATCCGTTCAGGCTGGTGACGCAGGGGCGTGCGCACGGGAGGCGTGCAGGGAGGGGTGCGGGCACAGGGGGACTTACTCCAGCAGACGCCTATGGTTGAGTTCGTGCGAGGGGGGCATCCGGCAGCAGCTGAAGGTGACGATGCGTCTCCCGAGGTGGTCCTCCCCTGCAGGAAGACCCGGCTGAGCTCCGAGGCACCCGCCCAGCCTGGCTCTCGGAACCGCCGGCCTTAACACACACGGGCGCTCCTGACCGCCCGCCCAGCTTAGCGGGCAGGCGGCCGGCACTCAGAGAAGGCAGCGCCTGCAGGGCAAGCATCAGCCACAGGACACAGCAGGCCTTCCACGAATGCTGGCGCCTCCCGTAGGCACAGGCCCACTCCCTCCCTGCCCTGATTCCCCGGTTTTGGTGGGGGATGGGGGCTCGCAGCTGATCAGCTCACATCGGACCTCCTGCTAATGGGGGCCCTGTGCCGGCCGCGAGAGGGGCTGCTGGGCAGCTGGGCCTGAGCACGGAGGGGTGCGGAGACAGGGCAGAACGGCAGGTGAGGAAATCGGTACTCAGTTCAGGCAGCAACAGGGCATGAGGGGCACTGCCGGGCTGTGAGCCCCGCCACCCTGCCACCCGCACGGGAGAGCTCAGCACATGCAAAGGCACTGGGGCAGCGACATGGAGAGGGGATGGAGGCCAGAGCCACACCGGGCCCACTTCCTTTTCTCCAGCAGCGTCCTGCTTGCACAGAGCGGTGAGCCAGTCACTCCTCGTTCAGTAAACACTGAGCACCTCGTTTGCAGGGCCCACCGACTAGCATGACGCTCAGCTGTGAAGGGAGCTACTACTTCGGAAGGCTTTTTACTCCCCTTAAAACCAAAAGGCCCCTCCCTCAGCATTTTCTTTCCATAGCAACAGATTCCTAAGGGTCCAGCCAAAGGACCCTCACAGCATTATTTACCCTCAACAAACATTCAGCAAAGCTCACAGGGAGTGGGGCGGAGGGTAACCCGGTTCCTGACATTCTTTTCTCTACACCTGGGGCATTTGAAAAGTTCCGTATTAACGAGAGGGAGAGGGGCTCACTAGCCGGGCAGCCCTGAGCCAGCCCCTCTGCTCATCTGCAATACGGAGATAATAATGAAAGACTTGGAGGGGTACAGGAAGGGTTAATTGGCATAGCGCTGGCACACAGTAGGTGCTCAATAAATGTGACATGTTACCACGTGGCTGGATGCTGGGTGCTTCCAGGGGGGAAACTGAGGCCCAGAGAGGCAAAGTGAGCGTCGGAGCCGGTTCAGCTCACGGCTGGCTGACTCCGAGGGCAGCACCCCCAGCCCGGCCTCCCGGCTCCCTCTGCCCCTGGGAACCCCGCAATCCCAGCGGGGAGGCTCCCACGCTCCTCAGCCGTGCGGACCCCGGGGACACCCAGCCCCTACACCCGATTAATCGGTCACCACAGCAACTGTGTCAACAGCATCCGTCAATATGAGTAAATACCCTGGCCTGTTCTCCGGCAACACGGGCCAGCGTATCACAAACAGGCTTCAAGATGATATAATACGGACGGAAATGAAAACTATCAATAACATGCAAATCCGGGAGGCATCGGTTTAATCCGCTCCCCGTCTTTCTCCCTCGCTGCTTACAAGGCGGCATCGCTCACTGCCTGGAGGCGGGAGCCCCGCCTACGATACAGAAGCGATTCCGCGATCCATCACGCCTGGGGAGGGGAGGCCGATGAACTGCGGCAGAGGCAGCAGAGGCAGCAGCAACCCCATCGGGAGGCCCGGGCTGGGGCTTGGGGTTGGGTGCTAGGTCGCTAACCTCTGCAGAAGCGAAAGGGATTCTGCCGACTGAACTTGCTTTGCCTGCCACCTGATCTGGGTGGAGCGGTGACCAGGCGTCCAGCAAGACCAGGTCCTGCGTGAACCTCCCTTAAAAAAAAATCCTCACCCAAGGACACGCTTCTTATGGCTCTTAGAGAGAGTGGGAGGGAGAGGGAGAGAAACATGGATGTGAGAAACATCGATGGGCTGCCTCCTGCATGCACCCCAACCGGGGATCGAACCCGCAACCCAGGCATGTGCCCTGGCCTGGCCTGGAACCTGGGACCCTTCGGTGCACAGGACACCGCTCCCCCTGGCCAGGGCTCCCTCTCTCTCTTTTCTCTCGTCTCTGCCGCTCGCCCGTTCCGCGTCTCTGGGGCGACACCTCCTGCCTCCTCTGATCCTGGGCTCCAGAACCTTCCCTCTGCCCACACCGCGTCCCGCCATCTAATCTCGCCTCTGAGTCCCAGCCCTGGCCCCAGACTGGTGCTTCAGAGGATGGCTGCTTCTGGAAATACTTAAGTCAACTTTATTCATTAAACACTATCTTAAGTCCGGGCCGGGTACTCAGTTGGTTAAGAGTGTCATCCTGGCCCATCCGGTGTGGCTCAGTGGTTGAGTGCCAACCCATGAACCAAGAGGTCACTGTTCGATTCCCGGTCAGGGCACATGCCTGGGTGGCGAGCTCGATCCCCAGTAGGGGGCGTGCAGAGGTAGCTGATAGGCGTTTCTCTCTCATTGATGTTTCTATCTCTCTATCCCTTTCCCTTCCTCTCTCTCTAAAAGCAATCCTATATAATAGAAGCCTAATATGCTAAGTGTACGGTCATCCAGTTGGCTGTTCAACCAATCAAAGCATAATATGCTAATGATATGCTAAGACCACTCAACCACTCAGTATGACATGCACTGATGACTACGGGGCAGACAGTCGATCGGTCAACCAGTCGCTATGACGTGCACTGACCACCAGGGGGCAGATGCTCCAACCAGTAGGTTAGCTTGCTGCTGGGGTCTGGCCGATTGAGACTGAGTGAGATGGGCCGGACACGCCCTGGAGCCCTCCCGCGGTCCCTCCTCAGCTGGCCAACCTCCCGCATCCCTCCCCAGCCCCGATTCTGCACCTGTGGGGTCCCTTGGCCTGGCCTGTGCCCTCTTGCAATCCGGGACCCCTCGGGGGATGTCAGAGAGCCGTTTTCAGTCTGGCAGCAGAAAGATTGGTCGCTATGACACGCATTGACCACCAGGAGGCAGATGCTCAATGCAGAAGCTGCCCCCTGGTGGTCAGTGTGCTCCCACAGGGGGAGCGCTGCTCAGCCAGAAGTCGAGCTCATGGCTGGCGAGTGCAGTGGTGGTGGCAGGAGCCTCTCCCACCTCCGCAGCAGCGCTAAGGACGTCTGACTGCCGGCTTAGCGGGCCTAAACCATCAGTCAGACATCCCCCGAGGGCTCCCAGACTGAGAGGGTGCAGGCTGGGCTGAGGGACCCTCCCCCTCCCCCCGCTGAGTGCACAAATTTCATGCACTGGGCCTCTAGTAAAAACATATTTTAACAAGAAAAAGAGTTGTCCTGATCCGCCAAGGTTGTGGGTTTGATCCCCAGTGAGGGCACATACAAGAATCACCCAATGAACACACAAATAAGTGGAACAACAAATCGACGTCTTTTTCTCTCTCCCTTCCTCTCTCTCTCTCTCAAAATCAATCAATAAAATTTTTTTAAAAAGCAGAAACAATACAAAACACCATCTTAAGAGGTAAAATCCTACAAAGCTTCCACTTGGCCAAATATATGACCCCTTAAGTAAGGACAGGTCATTTCACTATCACTTGTGACAAGTCTTTGGTTTTGGCTGTGGGTTTGATGTTCAGGACTGGCCGAGTGGCACCTGGGGAAGGAAATCAGGGGAACCCGTTGGCGGGAGTGACGCATGGTTGCCCCTGAGGTGGAGCCCCGGGCGGGGTCCTGGGGTGGTGCGTGCCACTTCTGGGAGGAGCAGGCGGCAAGAGCTGCAGGTCCTAACCGTCCCCCGGGCCCACCCCACGCCTCAGGGCCCACAGGAAAGAAGGCTGCGTGGTCACGCACCTGGGACAGCCCAGCGGGACTCACCTCCCACCTGCAAGATGCCGTGTCTGGCCACGTCGTAGAAGGGGTGACTCAAGCTCAGGGCAGGGTCCTGGTCGGCCGTTGCCACCGCGGAGGGTCTTCGCACTGCGCCCAGCGCGGCTGCCTCCTCCTCATCTCTCTGCAGCTCTAGGGCGGACAGTGAGGAGAGGAAGTCAGCTGTATGCTCCAAGGAGGAGCATGAGGGGGCCTCCTGACGTCTTTTTATAGGACAGTCACCATGCCTCAGCTGTGCACCCACTATGCGCCCACCTCTGCTGTGCACCCACTATGCGCCCACCTCAGCTGTGCACCCACTATGCGCCCACCTCTGCTGTGCACCCACTATGCGCCTGCTCAGGGTGCAGCACCATGGAAGAAGAAGAACAGACCTGAGGGCTGGCTATTGGCCTTCACACTGACAGAAGTGGAAACTGAGGCTCAGAGAAGGGGAATGACTTCCCCAAGGTCACACTGCTAACTGACACCAGGGTGTGGGCTGAACTCGATCTCCCAGCTCCAAACTCTGACTCGGCCCTCCTGAAAGATGCTGGCACTGGGAGCTGGCAGGAAGCCATGGCGGGTGGAGGGCAGACACTGGGCCCCTGTGCTGTGAGGCCGGAAGTGCGTGCAGTCTTCCGAAAGGGACTCTGAGAAGGGGAAGCTCCTTCATACAAAACAAATCGAGGGGTTTTCAGAAATGTCTTCAGCTGGAAAAGAATGGGGGCTTCGAACCTCAGGTGAGGGCCGCCGATGCCCTGGATGAGCAGGTCCCTCCACACCCCATCCCCCCGGCACCTCCCGGGTGACCTTATTTGGGAAACAAGGCCTTCAGAGATGAGAGGAGCTAGGATGAGGTGGCCCTGACGAGGGGCCCCGGACCCAGCGATGCCGGACTTCTCTGTGAGAGGGAGGACAGAGTCAGAGGGAGAGTCCTTGCACCTATCTCGGCCAGCTCCTCCAGGTCCAGCCGGGCCATGCTCTGCGGTGGGCAGGGGGGCGGGCACACTGCCGCGATGCCGCCTCTTGGGGACCCGGGCAGGGGCTCCTTCTGACGCCCTGAGGGAGAAGCAGAGGAAGGGGGCGCATTTCACACACGTCTCCTGGATGGGGCTCCCTCCCACCAGCCGGCCCCGGGGCCGGAGAGCAGGGCCGTGCGGGTGGGAACAGCACCTGCAGGGCCCACGAACGCCCGGACACCACCACGCCTGCCTCACCACCCCCCTCAGAGACACGCGCACTCACTCCCGTGCCCATTGTACGGAGCGGGGAACTGAGGCCGGCAAAGATCAGTTAGAGCTGCTCACGGCTGCACAGCTGGTAACCATAACCAAAAGCCAGGAGTTACCTGTGCCCGGGACGCTGCCTCAACACCTGAAAACATCTAAAAAACTCCCTGTGTGTCCAAATAACGAAATATTTTGTGTCCCTGGAAAGGAGCGAAGTACTGACACGCGCTAGGTCGAGGACGAGCCTCGAGAACATTACGCTCCGTGGAAGCAGCCAGCACGGAGGCCACAGCGTGTCTGATTCCTCCGATACGAACAGGCAGCTCCACAGAGGCGGGCAGCGGAGCGGGGCTGCCAGGCGGGGGAGGAGGCACCAGGGGGACAGTGACGGCTCTTTGGGAGGCGATGACTCCGTCCTAAGTTGACTGGGTGACGGCCACGCTGTCTGTGAACACACCAGCAGACTGAGCCGCACACTCTCCGTGGGCGGAGTGTGTGGCCTGAGCTGTATCTCAATAGTGGTTTTAAAACATGAACAAAACAGGGTGAAAACAGCACGTAAGTTTGGTCCAGTATTTTAAGAGAAAAAAAATGTTTAACATTGTTTTAAAAATGCTGTTTTCTGCCCTGGCCCATGTGCTCAGTGGTTAGAGCACTGGCCTGTGCACCAAAGGGTCATGGGTTCAATTCCCGTCAAAGTCACATACCTGGGATGCAGGTTCGATCTCCGGCCCAGTCGGGGTGCCTTTGGGAGGCAACCAATCAATGTGTATCGACCTCTCTCTCTCTCTCTCTCTTCCTCCCTCCCTCCCGCTCTCTCTAAACATCAGTGGAAAAATATTTTCGGGGGAGGACTAACCAACAAGTAAATAAATAAATAAAAGTGCTGTTTCCTATGAATTCTGGGGTTAGGATTTGTCAACCCATTTATTTTCCCATGTTTGTCTTTATTTTCACTTTTGCAAAAGCCTGTATTGCTCTTAATATGAGATAACGTTATTTAAACTAAAAAATGCATGATTGGTAATAGAAATATTTTATGATATAAACATATTAAAAACCTTGCCTCCTTAAAAAACAACAACCAAAAATCCCCGTTAGCTTAGTGCCGCTTCCAGCTCCATTCCACAGATGAGAAAACTGAGGTAGAGAAGGGAGTCGCCTGCCCAGATCCTGGCAGCGCCGGCCCAGGACTGAGGGTGGTGCAGACCCGGGAGTGAGAGCCAGCTGGCCGGGCCGGCGCACACACAGGATGCGGGTTTGCTCCCTGGCAGGGTGCAGGCACAGAGCACCAGGCAGGGGAGCCCAGCCCTGCCCCCTGGGCCCCACCTGGCCCCACCGCCCACCTTCTCCATGGAAGGAACGCACCGTCCTCCAAGTCCAGCCTTCCCCAAGCTGTGGCCGATCACTGGCGAGGGCCCTGGGGGTGACGCCAGGCCTGGGAGCCTGTCCTCAGCCCTGGCCGGGAGCCACTCCCCACCCGAGTGAAAGTGAGAAAAGAAACTCGATCGCCTGCGCAGCTCCAGACCAGCAGGCAGGGCGGCAGGAGCCGGCTGAGGCCTGAGGAGCTGAGAGCCCTCTCGTTTGGCTGTGGGCACCCACCCAGCCTGGCTGCCAAGGCAGGGTGCCCGGACTGGTGCTGCCCTTGGCAGTGGGGGCTGGGGGACAGTCCTGCGGGGGACCTGCTGGCATCATTTCACTTGCACCTCACAACAGGCAGGGGCTCCCCAACGTCTGATGATGGAAGGAGGCCACCCCCACTCCCTGCCCCCCAGCCCAGGTCCTAGAGTCCCATGCGCCCTTTGCGGTCCCGCCCGGAGGCTGAGCTGTCCCCAGCCAGACAAACACCTGGAGAGCAACCTTCTGCAGCACCAGGTGCCCCCCTGAAAATGCAGGGGACCCATGGAACACTCTAGAACATTTCTGGTTGAAAGCCTGGCAGGAGGCCGAGCCCACCAGGGCGAACAGCTGAAACAGTCCTGGTCCTCGGCCCAGGTCTGCCCGCGGGGAGAGGCCTCCCGGGCACCGACGCCCAGGGGCACACGGAGCCCTGAAACCAGGAAGCCGCTTCCCCTCGCCGCTGCCTCTGCTTTACGTTCTGTCCGGTTTCCCTTCAGGGTCAAAACCTCGACCCCATCGGCCGCAGGGACACCACCATTTGTTCGGAAGTTGGGCGGGTGTCACCCATAACCAGTGCTTTGTTGTGGCAACAGCAGCTAGTTGTGGGGGGATCTGTAGTAGGGGGGGCCTGCGAGCCTCCCTCCCCACAGGGTCTTATAGTTGAGAGTAAAATATGGCCGCCCACGGGCTCAGGCACCCAGGAGCCTGGACCAGAGTCCGGGCCGCTCCCCACCCCTACTGTGCGCGTGGCCAGCGGGGAGAGGCCTGGGCCCGGGGAGGCCAGCGCCCTGCTCCCACGGCACCGCCCCGGCGGCCCACCTTCCCCAGGCCCAGGAGCCCGTGGAGCGGGTGGCGGGCGGAAGGCGCCCGGGGCAGGGCTCCCGCAGAGGCTGGGCCCGCCCACCGTGAGGGGATGTCTCTGTGTCAGGGTGGCTGGCCCACGGCACCAGCTGTTGGTCAGACACAGGCCCAGGTGCTGCCGGGAGGCGTGCGCGGATGTATGTGATGAACATCTACAGTCGGTACATTCTGAGCAAAGCAGGCCATCGCCAGGCTGTGGGTGGGCCCCGTCTAATCAGTTCAAGGCCTGAAGAGCAAAAACGAAGGTTTTCGGAGAAGGAATCCTGCCTCAAGGCCACAACGGGAATTCCCGCCTCAGTTTCCAGCCGCGTGGCCTGCCTTACAGGCCGGGCCGGCCGGTTCCCACAGCCAATGCCTTAGACGGCTCTGTGCAGTCGGCCCGGCGTATCCTCGGCTTCCGCACCCACTCAGCCAACCCCAGATCAAAGAGATACTTTTTACGATGTTGCATGTTGCTGGCGTGTACCATGTGGTAGGTCTACGCGGGTCGCATCTGTACGGAAAGCGTGCAGACCTTTTCTCTTCAGCATTCCCTGAACAAGTCAGCCTCAGCACTGTCCCCACAGCACGCACGCTGTCAGGTAGCGTAAGTAATCTAGGGAGGGTCACAGTTCACGCCGGCGTGTGTAGGCTCCCTGCACACACACCGTTTCATACACAGGCCTGGCGCGTCCGTGGAGTCTGGTATCTGCGGGGGTTGTGGACCCAGTCCCTGTGGTTCCGGAGGGACAACTGTGCATAAGTACCTCCTGTAAGTTTGGTTTCTCTGGACAACCCGATACAAGCCTCGTATACCCTCAGATTTCTCCTTCCTGTGGATTATCAGAATCACAGAACAGCGCAGCCAGCACGGCTCAGTGGTTGAGCGTCGACCTATGAACCAGGAGGCCACGGTTCAATTCCCGGTCGGGGCACATGCGCAGGTTGCGGGCTCGATCCCCAGTTGTGGAACATGCAGGAGGCAGCTGATCAGTGATTCTCTCTCATCATTGATGCTTCTCTCTCTCTCTCTCTCTCTCTCTCTCTCTCTCTTTTCCTCTCTGACATCAATTAAAATATATATTTTTTAAAAAATCACAGAATAGTGGAGCCAGGAAGGATCCTGGTGAACGTCGTGCACCGTTAATTGTCCCTGAGGCCCAGAGAGGGTAGAGGACTTGCCCAGGCAACACCACCAGGTGTGCGCAAACTGTCTTCCTGACCTCCAGCCTAAACACGAGAGTGACTCCCGTCTGATGGGGAAATGTCAACCATTTTTTTTTAACGCAAGAGAAAAAGATAATATTCCGCCCCCCTCTCCCCCCCATGTCACTATCCTGCTCCATGTGTCGAGAGGAGTGCCATTCCGGGATTAGATCCTGCTCTGTCGAACCCCCACTCTTCACTGGAAAGTTGATTTAACTGTTACTTAAATTTCT